CATATTCAATTATATAGAGTGAATCGTTTTAAATTTTGAATTACATTATATGAACGAAATTGGTTTCACCATGAAAATGTTTCGGTTCACATAATTTATTTGCAACAAGACCCGGTTTCACGTTCATGAAATCTGTTTCATTTTCTTTTTCATAATTTATTTTCAAAATGCACCGATTTCATTTTCCTTTTCATCAAATGGATCAACTACACCATCAATGCAATGGTTTCACCATAAAAATGTTTTGGTTCACCTAATTTATTTGCAACATGAACCGGTTTCACGTTCATGAAACTTGTTTCATTTTCCTTTTCATAATTTTTTTCAAAATGTACCGGTTTCATTTTGTTTCTCATAAAAAAAAGGATTAACTAAACCATCAATGCAACGGGTTCACCATAAAAATGTTTCGGTTCACCTAATTTCTTTGCAACATGAACCGGTTTTACGTTCATGAAACCTGTTTCATTTTGTGGATTTTTTTTGTTCATCTACATTTTGATAATTTCATTCTATAATTCAGTTGTTTCATCAAGACACGTTTCCTGATTATAACTCATGACAATATATGAAATCCAAATTTTTAATATTTTAATATAATTAAATATTTAAATGTTACCATTYATACAATTTCCTTTATTACATTTCCTTAATTAAGATTTATTAATATCTTTCATATTTAATAGAAAATATTGTAAATGACCGAAATACTCTTATTAATTAAATTTAATTAGAAAAAAAAAGAATTTTCCTATTGGTCGAAATTGGTTTACACGATTTCTTAGAAATGCACGGTTTTCATTTGAACGTGCCTATATATATATATATATATATATATATATATATATATATATATATATTGTAAAATTTTATATAATATTTTATTGAGTTTATGTTTGTATCTCATTTTAGTTAAATGTATATGTTACCAAAAGAGGTTCATGGTTAATGAATGACCGACAAATAATCTAATTAATAAGAGAAAATTATTGAAATCATTTTTGCAGTAACAATAAATGGATATGCCAGAGAATATGAACGGTGTTGACGGATATTTAGTCGATGAATCTATCAATCAAAAGACTCCCTCATTTGATGTTGTACTTTGGTGGAAGAAAAATGCTTAGTTATGACATTTTACTACAACCTTAGATTTTAATTTATAGAATGTCTAAAATGTCTAAGCGTCCTAATATAATACTTTGTAGGATGAAACCAAAAAGTGTCTTATCAAAAATAGTTACACTATGTTTATAGGATACTAGAAGGGTACTCGTGCAATGCATCGAGACACATTTCGATTTCAATGTTTCATTTTATTTTTTATTTATGTCGATATAATAATTTTATGTGGTTTTGAAAAAAGGATAATGTTTTTATTTTTGAATAAAATATAAATTTGAAAATATCATATAAAATTTGCAAAAATATATATTAATATCAGTATCAAATTAACTATTTAAAAGTTCTTATTTGTGTATTTTTTTAAATTCAAAATTTTTATTATGATTTAATTCATGGTAATGAAGTAACTTAATTTAGGTTTAATAATATATTTTTTATAAAAATAATAATTAAGTATTCTGTTAGAACTCAATAATTATCCTAATTATATTTTTGATTAATTTATATATAAAATGAGATGTTTATCCTGTATTTGATTATGTTTATCTGCAGTTAGTTACACGAATTCAAATATTGAGTTTTAATAAGCTGTATTTACGCACAATCTACTTGCAATCTTAAGTTTTAAGTAATATGCATTAATAAACAGTATTTTACGCATAAAAAGTGATTTTTAAAAGTTTTTATCAAATGTTTTATAATATAGTATAGATTTTTGGACGTCTTAACAAATTTATATGACACTTTTAAAAGAAAGTATTGTAGTAGCTATGTTATACAACACTACTTGAAAAAAATGTCATATGATCATGAACATAAGTATCCTATAAATAGATGAGTTTGGGACACTTTGCAAAATATTCCTATAAAATAACTAATACGACACTTTATTTAAAATGTGTTCTAAAAAACTTATTGAAATGTCAAAAACGTCCTATAAACTTATTGTAACCTTTTTTGATAGGACATTTAATAATTTGGTTCTATAAACTTAAGTCTTATTAAGTATTTCGTTTGTGAAATTTATGTACCTACTATCCCGCCAATCCAATCAAACATGCCTCAACCCGCAAGGGTTGGGTTGGTTTGGGTTATACTTTTAAATGAGTTGGATTGGGTTGAGATTTTTCCAAACCATCATAATTGGATTGAATTGTAAAAATATCGTAAACCATCCAATCCAACCCGCATACACCCCTGGATATGCACACACAACACATACGGGAAAAAAGAAGATTAGTGGAGGGGAACTGGGGAAAGGTGGTTGGTGAATTTCACAGCATAGGTGAGTTGAGATGGAAAAAGAAGACAAGTAGCTGAGAAGGGGATGAAGATGTCCAAAGGTAGTTTTCGGTATTGGGCCATGGTGCTGAAGACGGCTATTGGAGGATCTCGTGGAGGTTCAAACGAGAATACCTCTATTTTACGAGAACGTGAGAACACTCTTATCACATGTGATAATACGCGTGAGGGGACCCTATGATGTGCGAACGACGTGTTCTACGACTTATGACGCGCCAAAGGTTGTATGCGTCTATGATTTAACATCACATGTGATGATCTTGATAGATTATAGTATCATATCAACACCACCTTATTACATATGATAATACTTGTGAGGGGGTTTCGTGGTGTAAGAGCGACTTGGCTCGCAATCAAGATCGCATCGAAAATCGCTCACGTTTCTGATCTAGTATTGTATCATATGTTATGGAATAATAGTATCACATGCGATTGTTTATAGTAAAAGAGTGTTCTTGCGTTCTTGTAAATTGAAGGTATTCTCGTTTGAACTCTTCCATATATATATATATATATATATATATATATATATATATATATATATATATATATATATACTTGGGATCATGTGAGACCAAGGGTTTTTCGTGAGGCCCGTAAGACCAATTCTCAACCCTTGGATTAGATCTACAATCTGAACATTCATAATCACAAAATTGCCACGAGACTTCTCAATAATCACAAAATTGCCACCGTGCAATTTTAGACCATTTGATTATTAGTTTATAAAATTGATCAATGAACATAAATTGGTCTTACGGATCTCACGAAAAACCCTTGGTCTCACGTGAATCCAATTCTATATATATGTATATATGTATATGTATGTATGTATATGTATATTAATTGGGATCACGTGAGACCAACCTGTTTTCATGAAACTCGTGAGACCATTTTATTACACTTGAAACTTCACAGTAAAACGCTGTGAATGTAACGTTCACAATGCTTTTATCAATTAAAAATACAACAAATAAATCACATATCTTTTTACAATAATTGTATGATTTTTAAATTGTAGACATGTTAGGTTGTTTATTTATGTTTCTATTACTAATAGTAAAATTACTTTTAATTAATATAATAATTACATATTATTTTATTTTATATATAAAAAAAAACCTTGTATAATTTTAAAATTATGTACATTTATTTTGACAAAAGCGACTAGGGGCCGCCGGGTGATTGAACTAGCAATAAAGATGGTTCACTCTCGTTCTAACCAACAGACCACTTCCATGGCGCGGTCATCGCCGATTTTCCGGAAACGAGGCGGTGGCGGTTTGGGGCTCACCGCCGTGGCATACATCGGCGTTGACTATCTGCGCCACCTGTCTCCGTCTTGGCACGAGCTACTACAGCCTTTGCTGTGGATCGTACTCGCACTAATCGCAATTACACGTGTTCCTTTTTATAAGCACTGGTCAGCTGAGCTTCGTTCAGCTCTGATGTTCCTGGCCGCTTTGGTTTTCATGCTCTGCACCTTGCTTTATGAAATGATATCCGTTCGTTCTGTTACCGCCGTCCTCGGCCTGACCTGGCACGGGTACATATTCAATTGTGTTTGTTTTGTTTGAGTTTATCAAGTGATTCAAGTTTAAAATGTGCTGTTTTGAATAATACATCGAGAATCATCAATACATTTGCCAAAAATAGCAAGTCCTCTTTCAGATCTGACGCATGTTTGAGTTTTTGGTTGTAAATTTGAGCATGATCTACTTTTTGCATCTTATCCGTGTCTGATGGTGTTTGAGTGTTCTAAATTTTCTGTAATTACTTATCTGCTTTTAATGTGGTACTTCCCATAAAAATAAACCTTCCACAAATTTTAGCGTTACATTTGGGAGATGATAGGCTTCAATTAATGCAACACCATTAACACACACTACAATGCAATTCTACTAGAAGCGCATTACAACTACTTGGTGCACAAATTTATTTTTTCGCTCGAGTAGAAATGGAGGTAGGTTTTTTATTTATTATTTATATGTTTCTTGAGGGGTGAAGGTGTTCCATTATTTCCTCAAAAAATGTGAGTGTAGATAATACCAACGATCTGTTTCTTTTTCTTCTTAATCAGCTTAACGAGCTTAATGTCGAACATAACGACTTATTCGTGGATTGCTTGTTTCTCGTTTGGTTTTTAAAAGCAATGTGTAGAAACGGCTGAATAGGATAAGCTTATTCCACAGAGGTTCTTAATAGGAAATAACCTATGATCTTATTGGATGGTGTATTTAGACATTTTATAGATAGTCGAACATTTATATATCTTGTTCTAGAGAACTAAAGATCCGTGTAATTTTATTGATGGATATGTTTAGACGCTTTTACTAATAATTAAATATTTTATATATTCTATTTTTGGTGAAACTTTACAATTCGTTTGAAATGGAGTACTAAATATTCACGGGGGTAATCTTTTGCACCATTGCACTTAATGGAACATATACAAGACAGCTATGTATCAGGTTGCCTACTTAAAGCATTGTACAAGCCTCTGGCCACTGTCAAAATGGGTAAACACACATATTTTTTATAGCATTCTACATATAGATACTACTAGCCACTAGCATGTCCGGTATAATTCATTTTTATTTCTGCCAAGTAGGAACTTAGCGAGTTAGCGTACCCAAGTTTGCTATGCAAAACATATGTGGTCATAAATATTTGATTGAATGCTTGAACTTATGATAACGATGAGTTTATACAAGAGGAAGGCTGCAATGAGATCTGAAACATGAAGTAACTATACAAACATTATAAATTGTGATAATGTACTTACGTTATAGACATGGTGCAATTTGTCCTCTATTATTAAATTTGATATGATCAAACAATTGAGATAGTGATAATAGATCATCACACTGGCTGTTGACTAACGATGGTGAATGCAAGGTGTAAATGAAACATTTTGCGACTTTTGCATGTCTAATGTCTTACTGAAAACAAACATGTCATTCCATCAAGAAGTTGACATTTCTCAGTAATCCTTATGATATTTCCACCATAATCTATGGTACCTGTTGGAGTCCCACATCGGCTAGACTGGACCATTTCTACTGTACATATGTTGGAACCTCCCCTTTCTCCTCAAGGGCTCTTTTGGAGAGTGATTTGGGGCTTCCACATATTCTTACAATACGTATAAATGCTCATATGCTTCAAATTGCTGAACATAAATACAGAATGCTGATGGAAGTATTTCATGGCATATAGTATACAACCCACATACACAGAACAGGGATAACATGATTTTGTGGTATCTCACGCAATTAGTGGCTTGAGGTCTCTTCCTTTTCACTATTCATCATGTCTACCTTTAAATGCTTCTTCTGTTCAACTTCCATAAAGATTTATTAGCTTTGAAAATCAACATAGTAATGAGAGCGTGGTGAAGCTGATGAGGGGCTCTTTTAATCTATTTTTGGTCACAGTTGAAAGTAATCACACTCGTTTTAGAAGCCCAACAAAAATTTAACATGTTGAGGATGTTGATGAACTACTGGAAAGTTAAAGCTTACTGATCTGATTTCCTGCACAGAACTGTCACGAGTAATCTTATAATTTTTCATAGCACCATTGAGGTATTGGACATTGGTAATGCTACATGATTATCAGTTCTACATAGTTATCTTGCCTTCATATATACTTAAAGTCAAGCTCATTTCAGGAAGCATGACTCGTCATTGTACGTGAGTTGGTAAAATGGATGTTGCCTGTGCTTGGAAGTGATTCTTTTCGTATTGCTTTGCATGATCATTCCTGTCACTTGTGTATAAGCCGGATCAAGTAAATGGTCGAGGATGCATTTAAGATCATCTTCAATCAAATAATCCCACCCATTCTACCATAAACAGGGTCAACATTCTTGAGACTTCGCATCCATCCTTTTGTGTAGCACTAAACAAGTTAATTGCATTATCTACATGTAACAATGGGATAAGCACCTAGGAAACTGTGTGATCCTAAATATGACGAATGACGAACTATATGGAGAACTGAGTAAAATTACTAAAACCAGACTGTTAAACTTTGACCTGGCAACGTTATAAGCTCATTTCAAGTAAGAATATAGCTCTCAGGTATCTGATTGGCTTTGCTATCTCTATCAGGAGTACTTCACCTCTTCCTGATACTGGGCAGTGGATACTGTTGGGATTGAATGAGAAACTTCCTCAAGTGATTGTCAATATACTCAGGGCTCGAATAGTTGGGTTGCATCATTACCTGATGCTGTTTGTAATGCTTGGTTTCTCTGTGCTGTTTGGCTCCATAGAAGCTCCTGGTCTTGGGATAGGTGCACGATATATGTTCACCATGGCAATAGGACGATTTTTGCGAGCCATAAGTTTTGCATCTACAATTCTGCCATCACCTCGACCTTGGTGTGCTGCAAGTCGGTTTGATGTCCCTCAACATCCACATCGTTGGGCACAGAAATTTTATGTCCCTTATGCTTCTGATTCCGCTGCCATAAAGAATGTCATTCATCAAGATATGGTGTATGGTATGCCTTCCTTAGGAGCTTGTTTTCTACTTCTTTGTCATGTTTATACATCTGTAGTCTGCACCAGTTCTTGAACCTTGCCTAAAGGGGTTTCAAACATCAGGCATTAACTAAAAGGAGAAATAAATGTTCAAATCCAAAAAAAAAATACATAAGCATTTAACACTAATAAATAAAATAACTCCACATCCTTAAAATAAATAAATGAATTATAGTTCAAAAATATAAGTCAGGAACAGAAGCTTTTAACTGATGTAAGTTGTAGAATTACAGAAACAAATAAAAAAGAATGAAGATGTTAATATGTAAATGAGCTTAGAATGATTCAGTTTTTTTCCCTTCGTCCTTTATCAAGCTCTGTGTGTCTCTATATCAGCGGACAGCATAATTAATGACAAGATTAACACATGTTCAAAAAAATCGTTATTTCTAAAGATCTATTATTTGTTAAAATCTACAGAGATAATTACAAAAATGCATTTTCATAAATCAAATTATATTCGGCATTTCAATTAATGAATTCTTTTTACTGTATGGGAAATATCTTTTTGAACAAATCAGTTACAGAAACACCGGACTTTGTTATATGTCTGTCGAGATTAACCCTGCAGAGTCCTTTGCTAGAAATGGAAATAAAAATTGTATTCTTAGTTAGTGCAAGTATGTTCTCATCCCTGCTGTGCATTACTCTAGTCTTAGTGTTGAGCTGTAAGGTTACTGCTCTCTCCATATAATGCAAGATGATCTGTTGAAAATAACTCATGGAAACTGCTACCTTTTTGTTGTTTGGTTACCCTCTGCTTGCCTTTTCCTCTGGAAAATATCTGGACTTTCTATAATATGCTCTTTATATGCATCATGTATTTGAACCAACTTTATGCTTTAATATTATCTTTGTATTGTGTAATAACTTTCCTCACTGTACTTCCTATTTGCTTACAGGATGCAAGTATTAACATCATATATAATCATCTTGCAGACCATGGTGTTGTACAAGATGATGAGTATCGACCAAATTGGGGGTTCATGAGCTTCCTTGCTGATTTCCTCCGACCTCTTCCTGACGGAGAGCCTGCATGGATCAATTTGCTAAAGAAAGCTGGAGGCGGCTGCAATGATCTCCTATACAGTGGGCACATGCTTGTTGCAGTCCTTACAGCTATGGCTTGGACGGTATGTATGCTTTAGATTCAATCAATAATCCTATTGAATAAGTTGACATGCTGCAGATACCATAACTTAGGAACAGAAGGTTTTAATTCATTTGTTGCTGTACAGTATAAAATCATCGGCTTTGATATGCTTGGACTTTGGCATTCTGTAGCTTAAATATATCCGGATATAATGATGATTATATTACTCCCCTCCATCCTACACAAGTTGCAAGCTTTGAATAAGCTTATAGTTTTAGAGAAGTGTGCGACTATTTGCCAAATGTTTAAAATAGTTAGAATATTGTGAACCCACATTAATTCCAATGGTTTGTAATAAAGATGATGGACAAATAGGTAATGATAATTTGGAAACTTTCCAAAATTAGCAGTCTTCCAATTTTTATGAGACATCCTGAAATAAAAATGCTTTCAAATTTCATAGAAAGGAGGGAGCATGTCTTTAAGGAAAGTAGGGTAATTATGTATTTCCATGGTTCTTTTAAGTGTGAAGTTGGTAGCTGTAAATTACGATTAACATATTGAATTCTTACGAAAATTGCCATTTATATAAAAAATAATGTAAATTTTGTGTGCATGACTGACCCCACCTAGACTATGGTCACTTAGCCACCAATTTTTTGGAAAATAACTAAAATATTGTGTCCCACTAGAATAACATTTTTTTTGGAAAAATACCCATTTACCATCATGACGAAGGATCTAGTGAGAATAGCAGTTAAAATGAGAAGCATAAGAAAGGATTTGGACCCTTAATCACTTTTAATCTCACCGTCACCTCATGAATTGCACTTATCATGGGAATTGATTCGGTGCTTCTTGGTGCACGATATTAGTGTTGATCTTCAATTAAGATTGATCCAAGGGTAGACATCCCTTCTCATCATTCTCATAACTTCCATTCTCACCGGAACGGAACCCAACCCTTACCATCATTGCAACTAAACTTATGGTATTTGTTTGATTCATGTGTTGGAATCTCCATTTCGGCTAGACTTGAATAATTTCTCCTTCTATATATGTTGGAACCTCCCTTCTCTCATTTGGACTCTTTTGGAGAGTAATCTGGGGGTTTCACACATTCTCACATGGTATCAGAGCCAAGTTTACCACTCTATGACAATCTGTGCTATTCTAGCCCCCGCACCCATTTTGCGTCCTCCCGACACTGTGGGACAATAAGTGTTCGACTAGCCTTTTGGAGGGGTTGTGTTAGAGTTTCACATCCCACCTTTCTCTCCTTAAAGGCTCTTTTGGAGAGTAATCTAGGGTTCCACATATCTCACATTATGTATTTTGTATCTGTTGAAGAATATGCTAGATATTTGATAATAAATATGCAGACAGTCAAAAAATTTGTATTTCCCATTGCATCAAGTGGTTGTTAATTATGTAGGAAGCATATGGAGGTTTGAGTTCAGCTTTTATCTGGATGCTAGTAGCGCACAGTGCCCAAAGAGAAGTAAGGGAAAGGCATCATTATACAGTAGACTGCATCGTAGCGATCTATGTCGGATTCTTGTTGTGGAAGATGACAGGGTTTCTGTGGCCACTCAAGAACATATCTCGACAAGCAAGGCTAAAGCAGTTGGAAAAGATCGAGGGGAAGCTTTACCAAGCGGCTAAAGATTCGGACTTGAACCAAGTGCGAGACCTCCTAAAACAAGTCGACTCTGCCGGTCAAAACAAGAATCAAGTTGGCAGGGAGAGGGCTATGCAATTTTTTGCTGGCGGAACCATCATTTTTGCGCTTACTGTCGTTGTTCTGGCCTTTGTTTTAACTAGTGATGGGTAATCAATGCGTTGTTGTATGATAGTTTTAGAACACGAATTTTCCACTCATAAACAATGAACACGAAGAGGTAATTTAGATTCAATTTGTTGGGTGGTATTTGCATCATTTGTTCCTGTTAGTGTGGTCAATCCCAGTTGTTTAGTAGGAACGAAGGAAAATATAATGACTTGTTCATCTTGGTTTTCGTTAAGTGCTGATCTATCTCTACATGCTTTGTGCGTGGATTATGGACGAAGGATCGTGTGTGAGAATAGGAGTTAATAGTAAGAAGTGAATGGATCTCAACCCTTGATCACTTTTATTCTCATGTCCCCTTTAATTACGATTGATAAAGAAATTGATTTGGTGCATCTCATTACTGGTGATCTTTGATTAGGATTGATCCAACTTCCATGCTCACTGGAACCATACCCTTAGATTATGAGCGGTATATTTTTGAGGTATTTCGTATTGGGTCTTTAAATTAGTAATTGATAAGTTCAAATTTGTTATATATTTTATGATCGAATCCCCTAAATAATGCCCATTTCCATGGTTGAAATAACCCATTAAACGTGTTTTTATCATTTTATTAGAAGTTAATATAATAGGGAAATCACAAGAAAAAATGGTTGGCAAAATGCAACCCTGACATACCAGGGTCACATCTAGGTTGTATAATGGGATATGAACTTACAGTGCACAAAATGCTACTCTAACATGCTACCCTACCATGTTAGAGTCGTTGCATCACGCACTACCAATTTCATCAATCTTCAAATCTTGACAGTTTTTTTTTTTTCATTTTCTTGATGTAAATTAGTCCCGCCATTTGAGAGGGAGCAGACTTAGGGACGATTACTGGAGCAAAGCAGAGGATTTTGAAGCTTTTCAACCATTTTCTTCTTGTTTAATTTTGTAAGTAGCTAGTTTCTTCATTCCATAATAGCATACGCTATTGATTTTGATGCATTTGGTTTAGAGACTCCTATGTAAAGAACGCTTGAAAAAGTTTATTTGTTAGGATTTTGTATGAATGTCATTGTCTTTTAGTTTATTAATTAATTTGATCAATTGATTTTATACTCATTTAATGAAAAGTCATTTAAAACCTTTGATCCGTAATTGTGTAGGGATTTTCATAAAGTGTCAAAATAATATGTTTGATTTCAATAAGATTTTTTAGTAAGCCAAGTTTGTGAGCTTATTGCTTTGAATCAGTGAATTTTCTAATTCATGAATGTCAATTACACCTGAGGATTTAAGAGTCCGTTTAAAATCTCATTTGCTGTTAAAATTTAACCAAACAGTTTATTTTAATTAATGTCTATGTAAGGGAAAATCGAGGTTGTCAGAGTTTGTTGACAACTATACCCAATTTAGATTTGCCCCGTGTTCTTTTGCACCATAGGAATCGATGATGAACATTTTGCATCATATCGAGGGTGAAACTATTGTTGGATTTTTTAATTATATTGTTTTTAATCATATATTTAGCTTAATTAATCAAATCCGTCCCCTCATACGTAAAATGTAGAAGTCAAATAATTGTTACGAATAATTATTGTAGATTTGACTTGACTTAACACTGTTACAAGTTATATTATGATTTAAGACAATTAAATATTATTATTTGTTGGTTTTGACAGTTTGACCTTAAATGTAAGTTTCAGATTTTCTAATTCTAATAAAAAAGTTATATTAATTTTAACTACATGGGTGGTGTCTGATTGATTTGAGCTTGACTCAAAATGTCAAAAATACCAGGAGGTATCATGTTCAAATCCAAGGAGAAATAAAAATCTCTTTGTGGCCACGGAAGTTCAAAATACGATGACTGCGGCATATCTGTAAAATAGATGGTCGCCTTAGAATTAATCAACTCGCATAGCGGGTTGGATATCCAGGTTAATAAAAAAAAATATATCCAATCTTCGGGTTACATAAAATTTTATACATGTTTTCATGAGAATAGAATGGGGGGTCGAATGTGACATGTTTGAAAAATAGAGGACTCGAAGTAAAAAAAATAAATGTAATTTTCTTCAACCGCAAGCCTCTCCAGCAGCAACCAGTTCCATATCGTCTTTCGGCTTCTCTTCTCTCTTTCATTTCCAAACCTCTTGGGTTTCTTTCATACTCCATTGATATCTCCTCCGATGGCGATTTCTGTCACTGCCCCCTTCACATGTCGCTCATGGACTTTCGACCCTGCCACACCCTTGCCTTCTTCATCTTCTTCCTCCTCAAAGCTTTCCAATTTTTCTTCCCTGCAATCTCATTCCCACCTTCATCGTCTCACTCTTAATAATCGTCCCTTTACTGCTTTCCCATCTAAGCCTAGAACACTTCATCTGGTAATCTCTTCTTCATCTGTTATCTTCGTCTTTTCCATTTATCATGAATTTTTATTTGTTTAATCGCCAACCAGATGACTATGTTTGTCTCTTTCGAACTTGAATGTTGAAATACTTCTGTTATGTCGTATATTTTCAGTAATTCTGTTTGCTTAGCAAGTGATTTGTAATTAGGTACCCCTTTTCTCCCCCAATTTGAGTTTACTTCCCAAAATTTGTTCAAAATTTTAGGTTGTAGTAAGTTGGGCTCAGAAAAAAATCAAATCTTTTGAGAAAAAAGTGTCTGTCTGGTTCAAGCCAAGGGTCTTTACAGAACCAGCCTCTCCATCAATTGGTGGCAGAGGAAAGGTTACCCTTCCCAAACCCTACCTCAATGTGGGATTTACTAGGTTTGTTTGGTCTGTCTAGAAAAAATTGGTCACAACATTTAACTGTATGAAAAGCATTAGAAGGAAACATTTTTGGAGATAAACAACTAAAGACAATCTATTTGAATTTTGAATTTGGAAAATACTAGGTAAAGCAATTCTGTTTTTTGAGAGAGGAAGTATTTAACTGTGATGTGGAAACTTGAGGACATTGCATCTTATAAAGATAACAAAACTGTTCTCCAATTGATGGGGAGTTAGTGTAAGTGTGGTATATTAGGGGCTGTTTGGCAATTGCTGAATGGTTTGGTGCAGAATGATTAAGAGGCTCGCATGATATAGTGAAAAATGTATTATAATTGTTTGGTAATTATGTACAATGAAATTAGGGCTCTTAATGGTTAAGGGAGATCTAGGATACAAAATCATTCAGAGGGTTTTGGAACCATTAAGAGGCAGACTTTTTTCTTGCTGAACAAGATTCACCTCTTAACGATTCAGAGGTTGTCTCTTAATGGAACTATTAAGAGGTAAACAAACAACATTTCGTTGCATCTTTGAGACAAAATGATGCTTATGAATGGAGGTGAAGTATCTTGGTTCTAATATATGATAATAAATTATATATTCAGAAATGTATTCAAAGGAGTAAGCTTATGAGCATTACAACTGAATTATGATTGTTGCTTATTGAGCAGTGGCTGAGAGTTGAGATTTGATTTTGGCAAATCGATCTGGTTTTATGTTTTCTTTGGAAAAATGGGTCTGGTTTTATTTTGGGGATTGATGATAGATGGTTGTTTTTTTATTGAACGTCTTAGAGGGAAATATAAGGGGAATACAATATGATTTGTACATAGTGTTTACTGATCTAGAGAAGACTATGTTGCCAAGAGAGGTGATCTGAATAGCTTTTGAGAAGAAGTTACTTGAATGTATGGTAATGTGATTAAAGATGGATTTGACCTCATAGCAACAAGAATGAAGGCATGCCATGATGAAACAGATGCTTTCTCTACTACCATAGGCTTGCCATAGCCAGCCTTGAGTCCTATCTGTTAGCTTTCGTTATGAGTTGGCATACGAAAGGCACACAAGATGGTATACCATTATGTATGATTTTCAAAGACAATAGTGCTGGTTGATGATAATAGCCACGGTGTTAAGGAAAAGTTGGAGGTTAGAAAGAGCACTTTGAAGTCTAAGGTTTTAGAGTAAGACGAAAAAGAACAGAGTATGAACTGCTACTTTAGTGGTGTTGATGGAACGTGGTATGGATAACAATGAAGCAGTATTTGAGAAGGATACTTTTGTTATCTGGTAACAATTTAAGAAGAAGATGGAGAAGTTTTTGAGGATGTTAGTCATAACATAAACGCAAGGTGGTTCAAGTGGCAACGACCTAGGGAGTTTTGTATGATATGTTTCATTGAAATTGAAAGATAAGTTGACGCGGCTGATAGAGAAACCAAGGACTAATCCCGTTGATTCTGTGAATGCCTGGGAATAATCTCTTTCAAGGTTTGTTGATTCAACGAATACCGAACTTTAGGCTTCAAATCGAATTCACTGTCAACTCAAATTTCGGAAGAAAATTGAAAATTTCTGTATCGAGGAAATGACCATCCTGACCTGATTACACAAACTACATGTAAATAAGAAGGACAAAATGAAATGGGTCTGAAAAAGACTATTGGCCAAACATAAAGCCCAATCGAAAAATGTAAAATTTAGCAAAAAAAAAAAAAACACAAAAGTGTCCAAAAACATGCTTAAACAGCCTTTTTAGGCCTCAAAAATCCCATAGTCCCCTTTCGACCTACCCAGGGTGTGCTCCTCGCTCCAAGCTTTGAATTGGCGTATCATGGGCCTGAAACAAGTCTTGTAGCAAAAGTTATGGCCGTTTAAGCAAAGTCTTTAAGCAGGACACCCCTCTTAGCCCAATCATGGGCCTCTAGGAACAATAGGGCCTAGTCTTCCACGCCAAGGCCTGCATCATGAGTTCTGGAGGATTGCAAAGAACTACTCTCATAAATGGAACAAGATGCTGATTCACCAGAAGGTGCTTGTAATAGGAATTTGAATGTTGATATGCATTCGTGGCCTGAAAGATAGGGTAAGAAATGAGAATACTCGAAAGAGGGTTGGGTAGCACCAATTGAGGAGAAGTTGAGGCAACATTACTTAAGGTAGTTTGGTCATCTCCAATGTAGACTTTTGAATGCACCTCTTAGGTTATAAATGGTAGAGAAAAGCCAAAATTGTCATCATTATGTAGTGTGAGTGGTGTAGATCGGCCTTAGCATGTGTGGAAGGATATCAACCATCTTCTAGAGCCTTAGGAGGTTACCTTTATGTTTATTGCTGGGTTGCACTGTTTTATAGTTCGTTTTTGGTTTCTCTGGCTGGAGGTTGTCTATTGCGAAAAAAACCAACTGTTTAATTGCTCACAATCAGGTTCAAGCAAAGAAGCAAACATTTTCCTCCCTTGATGAGTTACTGGAAAAAGCTGAGAAGCCCGTATTGGTCGACTTTTATGCAACTTGGTAACTCTCTCTCTCTCTCTACACACATATACCTCTGTTTCTCACTCCCTCTCTCATGCCGATGAATGATGATACATTATATATAATTTAACTCCATGGTGCATATAATCTTGTAAAATGATTACTGCTGTCAAACCAAACCAAGCCTCGCTTTATATACCTCTGGAGTGCATACCCTTAGATGTATGCAGAGCTGTTGTCATTAATCATTAAATTGGCATGCAATTCTTCTACTTTCTGATTAAAAATGTGAAATTGAAATTACAGGTCCCTGTAACTCTGTAAGTAAGCATTGCCTGGTTGAATAATAAATGATTTTCTTCGTTTGTGGGTTTGAATAAATGTAAATGCTCTTGGGAATATCTGAAAAATAATGTACGAATTGTGCTCATGGGCCAAATAAAAATTAGATATAACAGAAACCCTATCTTTTTTTTGATTAACTTGGATATCCAACCAACTATACGAGCCGATTGATCCTAGGGGGACCACCTGTGTTGTGGGTAGCCCGGCGTCGTTGCATTTGAACCTCCGTGGCCACAAGGGATTTTTATTTCTTCTTGGATTTGAACCTGGGACCTTCAGGCACTTTTGACCTTTGAAGCTCAAGCTCTAGCCAATCAGGCACCACTCTTGTGGTTCGGAAAACCCTACTTAATGCTGTGTAAAACAGAAATGTAATACTATCCATTTACACTCCTCCTGAAGCTCTATTGACACTCAAGTTAGAATAAATATCAATTGTGCCCAATTTGCCACAGATGCAGTCAGTTTAACGGAATATAACAGAAGTATCATATAGTAACAATCCAGAATGAAATATGTATGTGGTTTTTCATTTCTTTGAAAGGAAGATGTTGGTGATGACTTGATAGAACACACGGGCTAAGACAATGATATCTGTTTTACAGGTGTGGCCCTTGTCAATTTATGGCTCCTATACTGAACGAAGTTAGTATTACCATGGCCGACACAATCCAAGTGGTGAAGATCGACACAGAAAAGTATCCCGAAATTGCAAACAAGTACAGCATAGAGGCTTTGCCAACTTTCATCTTATTCAAGGATGGAAAGCCCTTCGACCGTTTTGTAAGTTTTTGGAACATTCTTCTTTTCTGCAGTTCCTCCTTTTGCTATGCGAGTTCTGGGTTAGCATTTTATTTTAGCTTTTGTGCTAGATTTCTGTCAGGTGTTACACCATGGGAAATATAAGCAACCTTATGGAGCAGCTTTTCGGGCCATGTTTGACAACCATAATAGCTTTATTTTTGAGCTTACTGACTACCCCCCCACCCCCCACCCCTCTAGCCATAAGCTAGCTTTTTGGTTGCACCAAGTCTAGCCTGATCATGTGTACAAACATCTTACAGGATTGCATTTATAGAATTTGTAGAAAAGACCGAGCATTATGTGGGAAATGCATTCCTTCGAATGTTAGATAATGGTCAAAACCAGTCCATAAATTTTCTGCTGATCATATACCTTTTTCATGGTTGAAAATAACAACGGTTTATTTCATATTGATCGGTTTCAGGAAGGAGCTTTGACAGCAAACCAGCTGGTCCAACGAATCGAGGATACACTAAAAGCTAAGAAGTAACAGGGGTGAGCTTCCTTTAAGTTCTTGCATCGACGATCTTACTTTTAATGCCAATTATTTAACATGTTTAAAAGTCTCTCTCATTTGATGTTTTCAGGTTAAATTGATTTGGTTTTATTCCCTATGCAATTTCATTACCTTTGTTTGGGCTGTTTTGGAAATGTGATTACAGATTGTAACAAACATTTCTATATATCATTTGGTACAGGAACTGAATTTGTGATTAATTGTTGGATTGATTGAGGTAATGATGTGGTGTTTTTACTCAATCCGTCTTTATGCATTGTGTAGTACGGGTGTGTAAAACGACCGCAACCAACGAACCCACTTGAAACCAAAACCGAGTAACGCACAAAATTTAGGTTATTCAGTTTTCGGGTTAAAAGGTTCGGTTAGCCAAAAAAGGGTAATATCATTTGGTTTCAGTTATTTTTTCTAAGGTTTCAGATAAGCGGAATAAACCATTATTAGACTATATTTTTATATATTTACAAACCATCTTAAAATTCGAAATGATATACATTGTATCTTACCTAGAGATTCTTAAACCTTTTTGTAAACCAAAATTTTGATATTAAAGGCTTAAATTTCTGTTATTCAGTTTACCTGATAACCAAATTGAATAACTCAAAACTGATTAAACTAAAACATAATTTGGTTCGACTATCAAGTCGTTTGAAGAAAGTTCAAAACCAAATAACCTGAACCGGGTAAACTGATCGAATAATACCCATATGTGTAAACACCATCCTCAACTTTTTTATCCTCCATGACTGTTTACCTCTTAATAGTACTATTAAGATGCAACCTTTGAACTGTTAAGAGGTTAATCTTGTTTGGCAAAAAAAATGTATGTCTCTTAATGGTTTTAAAACCTCTGAATGATTTTGTATCACGGATCACCTTTAATCATTAAGAGCTCTAAATTTTTTATACATAATTACCAAACAATTATATTTTATTTTGTACTATATTATGGATGCTTTTTAATCATTCTAGACAAAACCATTCAATAATTGTGAAACAACCCTAAATACTTGAAACCCTTGTTTTTTTAACTTCTGGTCGAATAGAGATAACCACATTCAAAGGGTTACATAAAATAAAAAGAAAAGAAGTAATTGATACCTTGCAACCAAGAAATACTCCTATTATGTGATTTACCCTCATGGCCTCGTTTTCTACAAGACCATGGGAAATCAAACGTTAATCGAACAATCAACACAAACGGCAAGCCGGTGAATATTATCCGGCACCGGAGACCGACGAAATATGGAGATGGTAGCAGCAACAGAAGTTAATGGTGTCGGAGAAGACATAACCCCACCACTCCGTCCTCTCGCTTACGCCCTCCATCACTCTTTCCTCTTCTCCCACTGTTCCTCTTGCTTCTCCCCTCTTCCCCCCAATCCTTTTACTTCTCTCTACTGCTCTCTTTCCTGTTCTTCTTCCCATTCTCTTCTCCACTTCTCCTCCGCCTCCCACCACCTCCATCTCCTCCTCTCCAACAACCCCCCTGCCATCCCTTTTCATGGAGAAACCTCCGACCTCCGTCTGGCCCTCCTCTTGCTTCTTCAAATCAAACACCACCAACCCTTGCAACAATACGATAGGATTTGTGGGTTGATGAGCAATCGTCACAAACTTCTTATGTCTACCGATGACGATGAGTTTTCCACAAGAATAAAGACCGGGGCGAGGGTAATGGCGGCGGCGATAATGATGAGAGACGGCGCCGCATTTGACTTCGAATTGTCTGAGGAATGTTTACTGGAGGAGGCGGTGTTGTGCGTGGTGGTAACCAACGCCGTGGAGGTGCAAGATAGTGTTGGACGTTCGGTGGGGGTTGCGATCTATGATATTTCTTTCTCGTGGATCAACCATAGTTGTTCTCCAAATGCCTGCTACCGGTTCTTGCCGCCGGAGAGCCACGGTGGTGGGAGACGGTTTCTGATCAGTCCAGCATCCTCTGATGGTTCCGAACCAATTGATCTTTCTGCAAATTCCGAGCTCTTAAGAGGTAGGTCAAGCGACCCTTGAATCCATCTATCTTGAATTCGTAAAAAGATTCCTGCTTTTTTGGATCTTGAATTGTTTATGTAATCATTAGGATCGGCTGAAAGTTGTGGTGGTCCGAGACTAGTTGTTAGGAGCATGAAGCCGATAAAGAAAGGGGAGCAGGTAACGATTGCATACACAGACTTGCTACAGCCAAAGGTAAAGCATCTATGTGTTACTTTCTATGCTTTCTTTTGTGCATTCATGAAGAGAGCTATCATCTTAGCATTCTGGCTGGTTAGACTTGGACCATTTCTCATCGGTATATGTTTGAAACCTCCCTTCTCGTGCTCTTTTGGAGAGTAAAACAGATGTTACACGTATTCTTACATGGTATCAGAGCTAAATTCTAGAGTCTATGGCAATCTATACTCTTCTAGCCTCTCTAGACGGGCAATCTATACTTGTTTGGAGGGGCCAATTGGCCATGTTAGTGTCCCACGTTTGGACTATCAAGGGCTCCAAATGGGTAATCTGATAGGGTTCCATATATTCTCATATTGACAACTATCTACCATCTCTTAAGCACCTTTATGTTTCCAGGAGTTGAGGCAATTGGACTTGTGGTCCAAATATCGGTTCACATGTTGCTGTTGTCGCTGTGTTGCAGTGCCTTTAGCCTCTGTTGATCAGTGTCTACAAGTAAGAATCTTGTTTCCTTGTTAAGATTTAACAAGAAGGTTGACAATGGCAAAACAATAGATCTGTTTTCCAGGAAATTTCTGCCTCCAATGGGAGGTTGTTGTCTCATGATGTGGGAGTAGAAAGTTTTACAGAGTACATAGATGATGCTATCGATGATTATATATCTTCCAACAATGCCGAATCCTGCTGCAAGAAGCTGGAGAATGCTCTTTTGAATGGATTCCAATATGAACGACTCATAATAAGGTTACATCCCCAACACCATCTTTCTTTAAATTGCTACACGACTCTGGCTTCTGCATATAAGGTCCGTGCCATGGATGAAAATCGGTTATATGCTTTAAAGATGAACAGATTCAGTGCTGCATACTCTTTGTTACTTGCAGTTCTAACCCATCATCTCTTTCTCTCTGAATCTTCTTTAATTAAATCTGTTTCATATTTTTGGATCGGTGCTGGTGAAGCTGTACTAAATCTTGCTAGAAGCTTAGTGTCTAATTCTGGTTCAGATTTTCCAAGCTGTAAATGCTCAAGGTGTGGTTTGATTGATATGTTTGAAGCTAATATTGATCATGGTCATTGTCCTAACAAGGTTTTGGACATATCTATGGATTTCCTAAACTGCATCAGTGATATAACCAGGAAGGTCTGGAAGTTTTTGGTTCATGGAAATGGTTATTTGGAAGAAGTTAAAGATCCTGTTGAGTTTAGATGGTGGGAGACCATAAAGTTTGTAGGTAATAATGGATTTAATCTGGAGGGAATTATGGAGGGCCAAGAAAGAGATGAGCTTTTCGGGCTAAGTGGTCATTGTTTGTTATATGGAGGGATTTTGTCGAACATTAGTGGTGGGCATGATTCACATTTGAGTCGTTATGTTCGACGACTTGTGTACGATGGAGATGGAAAATGAGGGAAGACACTATCGTGGCTGAATGATTGCGTATATTTAAGCTAGCGTTTGGTACGTACGTTGGACTAGACAAGATGACTGGACTAGACATGAGAAGTGTTTGTCTGGTGTTTGGTATGACTACAACCGGACAAGGAAGGGCCCCGACAAGTTGAATGTGTATGTACTTAAGAAGTATGAATAAGCTGTACCGAATGATTGATGATGGAAAAAGAATTATAAGTAGAAAAACGATATATTCAAGTTAAGAAACATAAGAGAATTTGATGAACCAAAGTACCAACCCGACCAACTCATGCTGTTTGATTTGAGCTGGGCTGGGTTGAGATTTCTCAAAGCATAAACATTAGGTTAAGTTGTTCAAGTGCTTTTAACCCAATCCATAAACACCTCTAAAATAGTTCTTCCCATTTTATTTATAGTTATTTAGCCACCAAAATAAATAAATGTAAACGATGAATAATTATTAAATTCCTATAAAATAACCAACACAAATCGAAGAATAGTAAAAAAATAAATAGAAAGCGGATATTGAATATTTTTTTTATAAAAATGAACATTTTAATTTTTTAATTGAATTTTATATTTTCATTATTCGAAGTGTGTCGTTAATTATTTGTTTGAAGTAATATTCTTTTAAATAATATTAAATAAATAAACAAGAATTTAGGCTATGTTTTATAAATTAACTAAAAAAACTACTTGATGAATTAATAACGTTTGATAAAAACTAACTGAAAAGATAAATGTAAAATGACATTTTAAAATATTAGTCAATTACAACATTTTATAATGTAAAATAAATTTCTAACAATATGATATGTTAATTAATACGAAGAAGATAGTAAAAAGATTAAATAATATAATATATTAATTAAAAGTTTCGAATTGATTATTATAAATTTTGGACGTGTTAAAATAAATTTTAGAAAAAACCCTACATTAATTTATGATTTTAAATAACTATTATATATAATATAAATATAAATAAAATTGGTCAAACTCACGTACCACGGTTGATTAATATCTTTTTAAAATATAATTTGCAATTCAATTAAATATATTAAAAAAAATCATTTAGCCCAATTTTATTATTTATTAAACATAACTAGGTTCGATCTCGTGTATTGTACAGGGTAATTTGAAAAAATAAAATCATGTCAGGAACTTATCTTACATATATGAATGATCATCGAAAGTACAATGTTACTTCAGACTTATATTCTTGAAATAACTCTGAAGTATAACTCTGAAGAATAACTCTGAAAAATGACTCTTTAGACTATAAATGAAACTATATTAATAATAAAATTAAATGTGGTATTTTGAACAAATATAGACATATTTTTGGCAAAAAAAAAAAAAAAACATTTTATAGCCGGCATGTTAACCAATAAAACTCGTCTTATAGAACTCCTTGACAACATCAACAAGTGATAGCTGAAAGCTGTCACGATAAACTGTCAGCGATAAGCTGAAAGCTGCCTATTCAGTGATAGCTGAAAGCTGTCACGATAAGCTGAAAACACAAGCTGAAGGTTGTCAGCAATAACCTGTCAGATTAGCTGAAGGCTGTCAGCAATAACCTGAGAGTTGAAAGCTGTCACGATAAGCTGAAAACATAAGCTGAAGGTTGTCAACAATAACCTGTCAGATTAGCTGAAGATTGTTAGCAATAAGCTGTCAGATTAACTGAAGGCTGTCAGTGATAAGTTGTAAGTAATAGCTGAAGACTTTCAGCGATAGTTTACCTTAAGATTATACTACATGCTTCTAACCCATTTTGCACAAAGATATAAACATGACAATCTTTATTGATTTTGAAATTAAAACAAATCTGTTTGACTCTTGAAAGAAAAAAAATAAACGCTAATTGTAGGATGGAGATGATAAAGAATGTAAAAACTGCATGCCTTAATGATCTGAAGAGCTAGAAAAGTAGCCCATACGACTTTTAGAGCCATAAGCATCTTCCAGCGTAAGTTGAACCGAAAAATTTGCTGCAAATTTCAATAGAAAAAAGATTTAGACGTGAAGAAAATGACTTAATTGAAAAGGAAAAACATTATAGTTATCCATGGTCACGTTTGGTGCCTTCTCCTCTTTAGTAATCAGTGGTTCTGTGTCAATCAACACTAAGAACAAAAAAAAATACAAACAAAGAAGAAGTTAACAAAACGATTACAAATTCGAAAACTTGCACTTTAAATGCTTATTAACTTGCACTACATTGTAGCTTTGGAAATTAGTCTGAACTAAATCCCGTTTAGTAGGGAAATCAGTTAAACCACAATAAAAAAATATACATTTTTAGATAGACAAATGTCAACCAAATAGGTATTTTTGAACAACTAATGTAAATTGTGTCTAGATACATATTTAGGCGGAAAAATAAGATAACCGACTTACCAGAAGATGATACGTGTCACCCAAGTTACTTATTTATTAGGTGTATAGATAAGTTTAACTTTAATTCTTATGTAACTTGCATAAACATTTTTACAATTGTAATATTTGTTTTTTGATAATTAAATGTATCAAATAATAATTATAAATATAAAATACAAAAATAATTGATATAATTAATAATTAATATTAATGTATAATGCATAATTGAAATTAATTAATAATTTTCATTTTTTCTTTTGGAAAGGCAGCATACAATAATAAACCAACCTAAAAACTACCACGTCCAACAAACGAAAGCCGAAAAGAGAAGGCTATCCTCCATTTAGGGGTGTTTATGGGTTGAGTTGATCGGCTTGAAGACATTTGAATAACTCAATCTAATGTTTGCGGTTGAAAATTTTTAACCCAACCCAAACGAAAGTGCAACCCAACCCAATCCAAACCGTACGAGTTAGTCGGTTTGATACTTTGATACATTAAAATATTCTTCTAACCTTGAATATATTATTTCTTTACTCATATTTTTTTTTTCATCATCAATCATTTGATACAACTTATCCATATTCTTTACGTATATCACATTCAGTTAATTTTCTCATTTTACGTATATATGTTTACAGTTACTGAACATATATACGAATGAGTTATATAGAGATGTGTATATGAATAACGTACATGATAATGTAATTGTCTAGTCTATATATTAATATAATTTTCAACAATCATATTAATCATATTAAATTCAAGAAATAAATGGATATCGGGTTTATCGGGTCGAGTTGAGTTCAAATAATAGTAACCCAATATCAACCCAATACCTACGATTTGAAAATTTTACAACTCGATTAAACATCAGGTTGCTTTAGGTTGAATTATTTTACGTTGGGTTGATCGGGTTGGTCGGGTTTTTGAACACCCCTATCACCATCTACAAGGCATAGAAAGAAAAGAGGTCACCATCTAACTAAGCAACAACTCACACAAAAAGAAAACAACCAATCAACCGAGATCAACTAATCATGAAAAGCAAGCAGTTGGACAATCAACGAAAGGAGTTTATTAATAATTACTATTTATTAATATTAATTGCTATTAGTTAATGTACATTAATAATTAATGTTTATTAATACTAGTAGTAATTAATACTTATTCATAATTCCTACTTATTTATAATTAATAACAATAAATAACAATTAATATTAATCATGGTTATAATAAAACACAACTAAGTTTCGGTGAGAATGAGAGTTACGATGAGAAGCGTAATAATGGATCTCCACCTTGGATGCACGTTAAGAGTGATTCATAGGTGAATTTGAAATTAAAAGTAATCAAATATCCAGATCATTTCGTACGTTTCTTATCTTAACTCTCTTTCTCACACGATACTTCGTCTATGATATATATATATATATATATATAGAGAGAGAGAGAGAGAGAGAGAGAGAGAGGAGCAATTAAATAAAAACCACCTTCATTTGTGTAAACCGTGTAAACCAATTTCATTCATCTATTTTCTTGATCAATGGTTAAGATTAATCAAGGTTATTTAAGAAAATTAAAAAAAAATTAAAAATACATTTTATAATACTGATAAGGGCAAAAGGGTAAAACCAAATATTCATTTATTCAAGGAAACCATATCATGTATATCATATTATTAATGAAACTAATCTATTTTTTGTAAAGTAATTCATTATTTTTACGTTAACATTTATTATTATTAATGAAACTAATTTATTTTTCATCTTCCAATTATTTCTTGACGAACCGCCTACATTATGCACATGTTTCATTTTTCATTTCATCTACTGAATGGATCACCTACAACATCACTGAAACGAGTTTCACCATGAAAGCAGTTCACCACTTATTGTTCAATTACGCCATGAACCAGTTTCACCTTCATGAAACATGTTTCATGTAAATTAATCTTTTTATTTCACTCATGATTTGATGCAATTTTTCCTTTACTCCTTACAATCTCCAAGATTCTAGAGCAGATTACAATCTTCAAGATCCCGAAGCAGATTCATCATGTATCCGTTTCATTATGCAATTATTTAATGACGAACCAAATAAATTATGCACCCGTTTCATGTTTCAATTTTTCTACTAAACGGATCAACTACATCATCACTAAAACGTGGTTCACCATGAAACGATTTCATATTATTCATGAACCAATTACAACATGAACCAGTTTCATCTTCATGAAACTTGTTTCATTAACATTATTATTTTAATTTGAACCATAATTTACGATTTCATTCCATAATGCAATTCAATCTTCAAGACCCGTTTATAGATTCAATCTCATAACAATATATCAAATTCAAATTTTTAATATTATAATATAATTAAATATTTAAATGTTACCATTTATATAATTTTCTTTATTACGTTTTCTTAATTAAGATTTATTAATAACTTCCATATTTAATAGAAAATATTGTAAATGACCGAAATACCCTTATTGATTAAATTTAATTAGAAAAAATGGAATTTTTCTACTGGTCGAAATTGGTTTACACAGTTTCTTAGAAATGCACGGTTTTCATTTGAACGTGCCCTGATATATATATATATATATATATATTCATTTGAGAAAGAACTCGATAATTTGTGATAATCATAAGATATAATCTAGGGATGGTAATGGGGAGGGGACCCCAATCCCCGTCCCCGATCTTTGTCTCTGTCCCCATCCCCATCGGGGAATTTGATCACATCCTCATCCTTGTCCAACGGAGAACGGGGATCCCCAACGGGGAAACGGAGATTTTTTTTTTCTTGTTTGTGTAAAAAAAATTAAATCAAATGTCTGAGACGCTACACATATTTAAATCTCAC